TATCACAGGTAACAGAGTTGGTAAGATTGTTCTGATTCCTAGAGTGCTCATCACACCATCAGATGCCAGATTGCCTTTCAAAATGAGGCGTAGGCAATTTCCTCAGGTCGTGGATCATTGAAGGTGTCCGTCAAGAGCATGGAGAAGGAAGTGTCGTCTGTCGTGGATCTAATAAGGGTCGGAAGGAATTGTCCGTTGTAGAATCGTCTATGTAACAGTTCTCATAATTTGCAATAAATAATAAATCTAGACGTCAAAAAAAAAAATCTGATTAAACAAAATACAAATCTAATGCAGCTAAATATATTCAACTCTAAAATACAATATACTACATCATTTTATTACCAATTCATGTTTTCAACCAAATTAAAATACAAAATATTTAATAAATATAATAAAACTATCCAAATATTGTTTTTAAAATAAATCTAAAATACATTGTATAATATTATTTATTTATAAAAACAAAATAAAAAATTATTGTCAAATAAATACTATACAACATAATATCCAAATAGTAATAAACATAAAATTATATGATTTATTCCTTTTATACTAAACTATGACACTATCTTAGATCTTACATATTTCATATTAAATGAACAATATAATTCAAAAAAAATATAAAATCCCGTGCTGTACAGCACGGGTCATGATCTAGTACTCTTTAAATTTGTAACTGAAAAATAGGTTATATTTACTTTTATTTATTAGAAAACGATTTTATATCTCAATAGATTCAAATCTAATGTTAATTTAATAGACGGTTTTTTCTTTATAATTTATAAAAGATAGTTTATAGATAATTTAATTTTCAGAAAACGGTTTTATATGCTGTCAAAACAAAACCTGTAAAGGAAAAAACAAAACCTGTAAAAAAAGAAAAGAAAACGGTTTTATATTTATATTTGGTTTTAATCAAAAGTCAAAACTAATTCGCATGTTAAAAAGAATATGGGAATTGGATCCATGTGATGGGCCAATACTAAGGCCTTTTACCTTAGCAGGACCCACGTTTGATCAAAATCTTATTTTGTCTGCCACGTGGTTAGCATAGGACCCACATTTGTCGCTTTACATATGCTCTCCTGACTCCTACTCTCCTTAGTTAAATACTTAAATGTAATACTATGAGTACATTATTATTTAGAGGTAATTATTCTTCAATAATGACACCCATTAACTTCCTAACTATACACATTATTTTAAAGATTCCATTATTTTAAATTAGTTATTGACGACATATGATTATTAACTTGTGGGCTGCTCGTGATCAGGTTGAACTAGTTATGAACGATTAATTAAGTAATTAACTTAAAATTTGGCAACTAAACGATAAAACATATAAAATGGAATAAACTTCTTTTGAAACAAATTACAAAATAACTCTTATATTAAATATTAATAGTACTTTTTTGGGGAATATTTAATGTTTCCGCCGACTTCCAACATCTGTATATATTAACAATGTATCATTCTTTGCGATATTAATAAAAACAGATGACAAAAATCAAAAAATAATATTAATAGTACTATTTTAAAGCAACCTATATATAATATATATATATATATATATATATATATATATATATATATATTATACTCCCTCCGATTCAGTTTAGTTGTCGTTTTAGGATTTAAATTTTGTTTCATAATAGTTGTCGTTTTAGGTTTTCAATGCAAATGTTTGATGAAAATTCCAGTTTTATCCCTACTGTTTTAATGTTTTGGCCAATGAATTTTTTTTATAAAATATATTAATAAAGGGTAAAACAGAAAATTTAATACTTTTTTTAATTTGTGTGAAAAAACCTTAAACGACAACTAAAACGAAACGGAGGGAGTATCATTTTTTAATTTAAATAGGCTGAAAGAAACTTCTATATAAAAGTCAGTGTCTTACATATCACAAATGTCTCTTTTTTTTCTTTTTCTTTTTAAAGCACCAAAAAGGATATTTGAGAGAAGACACTAGTTTATATATATAAGTTGCTTCAAAATAGTACTATTAATAAATGTTCTTTAATAATTATTTCTTATGTTAATTAATTAAGTAATCGTTTCGAAAAAGTTTGACCTTGTTATGTATAATGTATCAACACTATCAATTATCATCAGATGATTCATATTCAATCAATCGAAGAAAATTAATTTGGTGGTTCAATTCGGTTCATAACAAATGTTTTATAACAATCACACTTTCCCTTTTTGTTTTTTTTTGTTTTGTCGTAAATGCAACTTTCATGAAAATTAAATAATACTGGTAACAACAACATTATAATAAATTTTCCCCGGTAAACTAACCATATAATTAATTTTTTGCTATGTCATTACGAAAACACGATGAAGACCACCTGATGAAAGAAACGGTTTTTGGTCATAAACAAAGACATGTGGTCGTTTTGTTTTGGATTTAAACGTTAAGTCATTATTCACAGATATGAAAATTATTATAAGGTGGGAATTTATAAACACAAGTTGCAAAAATATATTTCTATATATAAAGTAAATATAAAGCCATTAGGGAAACACGAGGATCTTCCCCAAAATATTGTGCTAACCGATAATTGGACATCAAAATGACACTTACGGCATCATTACTTAGCTAAAATTTTAGTTAAAAATATTTGATTAACTAACTACATGTTCTGTTTAGAGTTATTAAACTAGATCTTGTAAGCAGTGGCGGAGCCAGGATTTTTGTTTATAGGGGTCATATATATTTAATTATTTTTAATTAGTTATAATATTAAATAATATATTGTAAGTATAAATTTTCAAGAATATTTAAAATTTGTTACCTAAAGCAAAACAAAATCATCTATTTTTAAAACGCTTCACTTTCCAAATAAAAGATATTTTTAGTCGTATTAAGTACTTTTTGTTCTCAATTTTTTTTTATCAAAATGTATAGTATATTGTGTTTATCTAGACTTTTTCAAAAATATATGTTACGGAACATTTTTTAAACAAGGTAGCAAAAAAAAATTAAAATAGGATATGTCTAAACAAGAAGAAAAAAAATAAATATGTAAGAAGAGGTTAGAATGTTTTAGTTATTATAAACAAAAAAGAAATAAAGATGAAAAACAGAATTAAAGTTAAATTAGAAATGAACATGCAGGGGTCAAAAGCATGGTTGGATCATTATCTATGGGGGTCATTATAGAGATTTTAGACAAAATCATCTAGTAATCATTATAAAATTTAGCTAACAATTGAAAATTTAAATTTTTTATGGGGGTCAATTGACCCCCCTCCCAATGCACTACCTCCGCCACTGCTTGTAAGTTGTAAACACTTTCAAAAATACACAAATTTGTAACACTAAGTACAATGTACATACATATCGTTTTTTTCATCTGAAATGGTGTGCGAAAGAAAACAAATTTGTAAAGTAGTAATGAATAATCAATAATGATATATAATGTTATTATATTGAATATGGGGCATATCTAGAATCCAAGCTCGATTAATTAGAAAATTTTAACAAATATTTAAATAGTGTATGAATATGACCTTTCATAGTTGCATTTTGTCACAACTACTTCTAACAGAAAAAATAAACATTCTCTCGTCTATGTGTGTGTGTATATATATTTCGATATAATTAAATATACATGCAAAATTGAGGTGAATGTATATGTAATGTAAGCGACCATGGAAAAATCTTTGTTTTTTGTTGTGAATTGTTAAATTCGTATGTTTTACACAACAAATTGTTATTTGTAAATTGGTTAAGATTTAATTAATGAGTAACGCAAATAAGATTTTGTTATATATTTCTCCCCTTGTTTTTTTGTAAATTAAAGTGACCAATATTGTTCTATATTTTATACTGTTTTATGAAGATTTTTTTTTTTTCCAAAACCAAATATAATAAATAACAATGACATATAAGGCGTATGTTGTTTATTCTTCTTTGAGGTGCAATGCATATTGTCATTAGCTCTTTGGTAATATTCAGCTTAAAATATTATAATCGTTGATCTCCAAAACTTAAACCCCACATTTTGGGATCAGTCCAAATTTAAAGCATTAATTTAAATTCAGCAACTTTGAATTGGTCACATGTAACAACGTTCATTGAAATCAAAACATAACAATCATCGTAATGGTGCCCACCAAAAAAAACTATACTCTAATTTTATAAAATAAAACATATCATATGGGTTTTAGATAGATACACTGAACTATATGTCTATATACCATTTTCTTTCTTCAATGATTAAAAACAGTTTTCTTTTAAGTATTAACTTATTATTATAAAAATAAAAATTCTCAGCAGCCATTGGTCCTGTGTGAAAATTAATATGGTTGTTACTTGTTATTGGTTAGTGTTGCATGAGGACCCATTATTTTGAATTTGCCAAATCAAATTAAAGGAATAGCAACGGGACAACCACGTTCTTATATTCACTATTCTCTTGCACATTTATATATCGGATTCATAATTATATATTGTATTTTAAGGAAACTGATGACTTTCACGATTCAAAGCTAATACGCAATATAACTCGTTATTATTACTGTTAAAATTGTAAAATTATGATAAATCACATTCACATATCAAAACTAAAATTTGAATTCCTCACTCTCATCGTCTTTGTTCTTCTCAATCTTGGATCTCTCATCCTCATTCTTCTTCTTCTAACTTTTGGAGCAAAACCCTTTAAATAATGTGTTAATTTGTTAGCAAGTAACATTTTAACTTCCTTAAAATCATTCATAGCTTCTAAAATCTTTCACAAATTTTCTTTTCTACTTTCATGTTATTTTAAAAAAGTTTTTATAATAATTTTTCTTATAAAAACAAAACTATAAGTGATAATAGTCAACGTTTTGACTTTTGAGAGCCAATTAAAATGGGCATTTAGTGTAAGCCCATACAGTATTTAAATTGTTTTTATTGAGAAGCCCATATCTATGAGTGAATAATGTTCGAACCTTGGAACCAGACACGCCATTATAAATCCTGCGTCTCTCTCATTTCACCTTTCTCGTTCTCTTCGCTCCTGTCCCTTGAAATCATCAAAACCTCTAATTCTTCATAAACCCTAGCTTTGTAGGTAAGTATGAACATCAATATCAATCTCAGAATTATCTTTTGCCTAAATTTTGTTCGCATTTCGAATCGCTTGAAAAAACTCTAGACTCAATTCGATTGCATGCATGTGTGTTGTTTCTTAACAGAGTCGATTCGAAAATCATGGATCATCAGCAAGAACCAGTTGATAAACAGCCTGAACTACTAGTTATTTACGTCTGCGGAGGTTAAAGCTCGAAAATTTCATTTTAAATATGAATTTTTGGTTTGAAGTTGGAACTTAATACTACTAAATCATAGGAAGATTTCTGATTATTTTTGTAATTAAAGTTTTGCAATTTTGTTTATAGTTTGCTTAACTTGTTTGACTGAATCATTTGGTTTTGAAGATTGTGGACAAGAGAACATTTTGAAGAGTGGAGATGTGTTCCAATGCAGAGAGTGTGGGTTCCGTATTCTCTACAAGAAGCGTATTCTCGACAAGAAGGGTGACCGTATAGGTTGTGTAAAATACTAATCCTTAATCCTCCTTTTTTGTTTGTAGCTTCTCTTTTGGTTTTGTTCTTATATTGTGACACTGAGTTATGGCACAATTTCGAACACAAATGTTATAGTAGGGATCTGGTTTTCGAATCTGTCTTGAGTTTGTACCTATCTTCTGGTCTACCCCATTTGTGTGTTTGGATTGCTAATCTGTTGGTTTTCTTGTACATACAAAAGCTAGATGTTGTGAACTTGTTTCATGCTAATTATATGGTCCTTTTATTTGTGCAGTTCAATACAAAGCTATCTGAGTGCCACAACTCCTGAAGATAGTTCAAAGTAGACTTATTGCCATGGTGTGTTTGTAATATGTATTGACGTGGTTTTTGCTATATGGTCTGTTTTGGTTTGAGTGTGACTGTAATCTCTTTGCTTTTTTGGTATCTTGGAAAACTGTAACTTCTCAACAAAGTTTCTGGTTGGTGTTGTAATCCCTGACTGGCTATATTTCCTCTAAAGTTATTTATCTTCATTTGCCACTTAAACAAGGCAATTAGGCAAAACATCTATTTGGTCAGCTTATAAGGTTAAGGTTCCTCAAGATGATTTCATGGAGGGTGGTGCTGAGATCATCAAGTCAGATGTGCTGTGAAAAAAAGCATGAGAGAGAGGACAAAACAGAGTAGCCATGCTTTAAACTGCTTCAACATGCAAATGGTGTCTCTCTATCGTACTCACCCCATCATTGTATCTCCTCTCCATTTCTCTTAACTCTTGTCTTCTACCCTCGCACTTGCCTGCCTTGTCCTTAGTGTCAAGATCATTTCCATGTCGTTTTTTGCCTTCACCATAACCACGCGAGGACTTCTCCTATGAATCTTCTCCATGCATGTCATGACGATTGTGCTCTCTCTTCTCTCGCTTGGTACTTTTAGGTAGATCACCGTCAAACAGTACCATTCCAAGTCGACCTTGTAAAACATTTTGTGTATTAAGACCGCTTAGTTTGTTAACTTTCAAAGTTTTGGCAAATAATTTGAAACGGAAGGAAGGATTTCATGATTTGTTTGGGTCTAAAGAGGAAAATGAGCTTTACCCTTACCCTTTTGGGAGTCTTTCCGCCGGAAATGTGACCAACGTGTATCCGTACACTTTGACTGAAATATACTTTGTATTCTTATATCTAGAGTTTGACATCGAAAAGAAGAGAAGGAAACAGAGCCAAGGTCAACTTGCCGGCCGGGCACCATAATCAGTTAAGATTTGTTGATCAAATCGGCAAGTCATCCTTGGCTCAATCTCATTCTCTATTTTTCCCATGCAAGAGTACTCTATGATACAATTAGTGACTCTCGTCAATCATCATCATCATTTCTTTTTTGTACCTCTCATATTGTCTTGTGATCTTGTTATGAGAAAACCCTTACTCATGATGAAGGTATTTATCACTCAAAACCTGCGCGTGGGCGTGGGCTCATATATGATATATAGTCTCGAGTTCTCGACTCTTGTGGTTGATGACACAAAAGAAGTTAGCCATCATCTCACAACAAAATTGCCGACAAAATCGTCTTCGTTATGAAAGATTTTTTTGGTTAGAAAAAAAAATAAAATTTCGTTATGATCAAGGTTTGCTTTGCAGTTTTTTTTTACTTCGAGGTTGATCTTGCATTTTTTTGGTAACTTGAAATATTTTGTTAGTTTGCGTTTTTCATAAAATACTCTTTTTGCATGAATAATTCATACTCTCACCTCACTATGTCCATCAAGGGCATATATTGTATCTGTCTGCTACATAAAAATCCACCGGTCGTACTTATTGTATGATTTGGACTCATAGTCTTGTGGTTAATGACAAAGAAAGTATCGATCGTCTCACAAAAATTGAAAGAAACTTTATAATATTCATGTGCCTTTTTTATTTTTGAAGAATTGCCACAAATTTCAAATTTTGGATAAAATGGAATATAAATGTCGACAAAAATGGCATATATATAGAAAATTCGAGATTTTCCTTTATGTTGAGAATATATTATTTGGAAACTCATCTTATTGTCAAAGGAGCACTAGTGCAGTAAGTAATACAGTGCAATTAATTGACTTCTTTTTATCACTCACTAGTCACTAGTAATTTTACTTTTGTTAAAGGGCTTCACTATACAGTAAAAGTGCAAAATTTCTTATTATGAATCTGATACTAGAAAACAAAATGAGAAAAGTTTGATGTAGATGAGTGTAATAGTTGACCAAAAATGGTGTTTTTTAATGTTCCAAAGAATCCTGACAACAAAGAAGATGTTCCGAAGAATCTTATCTTATTTGTGGTCTGACCAAATTGGTATCTATTTGTCCAATCGGATAGGACATTTCATACTCTCATGATGTGATCCATCAATAGATAGAATAAAATTAACATTATTGCTTAAATTAGTTTAGTAATTTTATCGACTAGCTTGTCCTTAAGAATTAACACCAAAAGAGATCGAGTTGTTTTCACACACTAATACAAGTAAAAAACCATTTCATTTCTCGAAAAGAGATAAAGAAATGAAACCGTTATGTTAATCCCTTTGTTTTTCTTAAACTTTTTTTGCTTGAAAAGTTTCATAATATGAAACATAATACTAATTAGAAACTTTTTTTTTTCTGCTAAGAATGTAAATATTAGTTGATGATGAAAATGTTTAGGTTTACAATCAAGATTCTAAACTTTATACTTGGTCCTATGGTAAAAAAAAAAAGTGTGGAAGCAAAATCCGAAACTCAAACTCAGTCCACCGATTCAACGAAAGCAATGAAGTTATCAGTGTAAGATGAAGTGAAAACGATATTGTAAATCACCAAATTGAGCTACTAAGAGAGTAAGAGTGAATAACGACGATGCAAAGTGTAAAGACCATAAAAAAAAAAAAAAAAGTGTAAAGACCAATGCAACACACACTCCCAATAGTATAAGCCTTTCACTTAGAGCCCGAGAAAATGGAACAGACAACAAAATAGTGAAAGATATTTATGATTCCTTAAACCATAAATCCATGCTAGTTCCTGATGATTAATAACATAAGCGGAAACGTATCTGATGAATCCGTTTCATTTCAAGAAAAGAAAGAAAGAAATGAAACCGTTTATGGAGCCCGAGAAAACAGAACAGGCAACAAAATAGAACACAAAGCCCTTCAAGAGAAAGGAGCTCTTCGAACTAATCCATGAGCGAAACTCATAGCGAAACTACCTGAACCATACTACAAAACTATAGTTGCTAACAAAACGTACATTGGCTATTTACACATGATTATTATAAAGAATCTGTCAGTTTTTTGTTAGACAATCGATGACTTCTTTTTGTCGATCAAACCACAAGAATATGAGTCTAATACCAAAAAAAATGAGTACGACAGGTGGATTTTATGTCGTAGACTACTGGTGTAGCTAGTGAGGTTCGAATATTAGAGATATTCACACAAAGTTGAAATTCGAATATGATAATATAAGGTCAGCCAATCTTCTAAATTGATTATATTCTTCAATATACGATAGTGGTCAAATTCCATTAGTGTTTTTATTCATTGCTGCATGCACTAAAAAGTCTAAAACCATGCATGGATAAGAAGAGTACTATTCTAATATCTATATATAATAGCAATCTAATAAATACCATTTGCACATCTGAACGGTTGCGTCTTTTTATCGCAACTTTTCGTTTAAATCGGTTATTTTTTACGGTTATTTTGGTTGCGTCTTTTTATCGTAATTTTCGTTTTAGTCGGTTATTTTTTTACGGCTAAATACCATTTGCACATCTGAACGGTTGCGTCTTTTTATCGTAACTTTTCGTTTAAATCGGTTATTTTTTTACGGTTATTTTGGTTGCGTCTTTTTATCGTAATTTTCGTTTAATCGGTTATTTTTTTACGGCTATGTCGTTTCCAATAAATACCATTTGTACATCTAAACGGTTGTGTGTTTTTATTGCAATCTTTCGTTTAAATATTTATGGTTGTTTTTCAGTTATTTTTGTACGGTTGTTTTATTGAATTTTTTTTACGTAAACCAATAAACTACATATAAAATTGGTTTATTTCATAGTTTACATATGGATATATTTTTAATTTTTAAACTAAAATTTATATTTTACGGGTATGTTTTTTAGAAAATTGCAATCCGAATATCTTCTGCTGTTGCTTCTTTTTATTGTACCTCTTCATAAACAGTTGCAACCTTTTATTTGAATTATTGCAATATTTAGTTTATTTCACGAACAATTGAAACCTTTAGTTTATATCACAAACAATTGTAACCTTTGATTTATATATTTAGTTTATTTCACGAACGATTGCAACATTTGATTTATATATATTTTTTTGTATTTCACGAAAAATTGCAACCTTTGGTTTATTTTACAAATTGCTATAACATCTAATTATCTACCGTCGCGTCTCTCGGTATAATTTTCATAAACTAATATTTTTAATTTTTAATTACCAAAATGCATTTAAATGAGATTGTAATCGTTTAATTGAACCGTTGAAACATTTGGTTTATTTGACCAATCATTGCAATTTTTGGTTTTGTTTTACAAACTATTGTAATCTTTAGTTTATTTGACGAACTTGACGAACCGCTACAACTTTTGATATATCGCAACATTTCATTTACTTCTTTTTAAACTAAAAAAATTATTTTACGTTATGTTTTTTGAGAAAGTTGCAATCCGAGTAAATATTTTTTACGGTTGCATCTTTTTATCGTAATTTTTCATAAAATGATTGTAGCCGTTTAGTTGAATCATTGCAACATTTAGTTTATTTCACGAAAAATTGCAACTTTAAGTTTATTTTATAAATCGTTATAACATTTAATCATCTACCATCGTTATTATTAATTTTTGTTTGATATTTTTTTTTAACGATTTTTGAAATATTTTCCCCCGCGACATCGCGGGGGTCCGGAGTCCTAGTATAAATAATAATATTTGCATATAAGTTTATGTGAAAAATTTAGACTTCAATTAAATCAACACACACATTTCTCACTACACATGTCTATAAATACCTTCATCATGAGTAAGGGTTTTGTCATAACAAGATTCACAAGACAATATGAGAGGTACAAAAAAGAAATGATGATGATGATTGACGAGAGTCACTAATTGTATCATAGAGTCTTGCATGGAAAAATAGAGAATGAGATTGAGCCAAGGATGACTTGCCGATTTTATCAACAAATCTTAAATGATTATGGTGTCCGGCAAGTTGACTTTGGCTCTGTTTCCTTCTCTTCTTTTCGATGTCAAACTCTAGATATCTATCCATATATCATATCATCATCATGATTAGGTGTTGTAGTATCATTGAAATGTGTTTTCTAATGCAAGTATTTTCTGAATAATTGATCTTTTTATAACTTTATCCTTCGGAGGCAGACAATTTTTTGGTTAATAAAACATCTCCATAGACCATTTAAATAGATGAATCATACATACACCAGAAGCGAAAAACAAACAAAGATAAAACAGAAAATTGAAAAAGTGAAAACATTAGAAGAAGTCTTTGTTTTTTTTAACTGCATTCATTCAACACCAAAAATCTGTCTGAGCTTAAGGACTTGTTGATAAACTTTCTCAGATTCAGGTAATGAAGCAGCAACACTGTTTCGTTCCACACATCTCTTTCCCCAAGCCACGATCTTCGGACACTCAGCTTCGACAGAGAAGTCACCACATTTCTCGAGTGCGTAGAACCAACTGTAGAATGGGACAAGAGTTATGTCTACATAACCGAAGGTCTCTCCTCCAAAGTAAGGTTTGTCTCCAAGCTCAGCTTCAAGAACCTTCAAGCTCTCAAGAAACTCTTTCTTGCCTTTCTCTTGTTCTTCTCCTTTCTTGTTTCCCCAAATCTTTTTCCCTCCTTCAAATGATATCTGCATTTCAACCTAATCAAAAACAGAGGATTTGAAAACTGAAATGAGTTAACGAACACTAATTACCGTTTTATCAGCAAAATCAGCCCAGAACCTTGCAGTGGCTCTAGATTGAGGATCAGTGGGCAAGAAAGATGCAGCATCGGTCCACGTCTCGTCGATGTACTGAACCTGGATGAGTGATTCAGAGATTGGTGTGTTGTTGTGGATAAGAACAGGGACTTTCTTGTGAACAGGGTTTGATTTCAACAACAGCTCACTCTTGTTCCACAGATCTTCCTCTTGAACCTCAAACTCAACTCCTTTCTCTCTCAACGCAATCTTCGTCCTCATAGCGTAAGGACTTGCCCAAAAATCCAAAACTACAACTTTGCTATTTTCTTTCCCCATTGTTGGTTCTACAAGCTCCATGACACAGAGCACTAGCCAAAAACCATATATATATACACTCACAAACACACACACCCATGAATGAAATTAAGAAATGGATATGGTGAAGACGTGGGAAAGAGATTGGAGTAAATAAATTTAAGAATGTGCTGTCTAAGGAGATCGTGAAAACTACTCAAAGTTTAAACCTTTTGATGGATTACAGTTGACTTACATACAACGACTTAATACGAGGAAATACAATGGATATAATGTATAATGTAATATGAACAAATCCTTGTACCAGAAACTCTCAATCTCTTGTTTTCTCCAATGCATTAAGTTTCAGAGAAGCACTACAAAAACCACAAAAACAGGAACCTCCATGTGAGGAAACTGGAACCGAGTCAAAAACATTCTTGATCAAATGAAAGGAAACTACTTTCTCGGTTTTAGACAAATTGATGATATCTAGAATTCAGTTGTTAGTTCAAAAATAATGATGTTCTACTACTCTTTATGCAAATTAAATAAGTTAAGGATAATAATAAACCTGTTGAGACAATAACGTTTTCCGGTTGGGCGTGGACCGTCATCAAATACATGGCCAAGATGGGCGTTACAAACAGCACAGACAACTTCTTGTCTAGGCATGAAGATGATAGAGAGGTCAAGCTTTGTCTTTACATTGTTTCCAATTGGTTTGTAATAAGATGGCCACCCAGTTCCACTATCAAACTTTGTTGATGAACTGCAAGAAATCATCACTTTTATCTGTTAATAACCATTCATTCATATGAATCATTTGAGAATTTTAGCTACATTAGTTCAACTTCTCAACATATAGAAGTACAATTTCATATTTACACTAATGGAAACTTACTCAAATAGAGGCGTGTCGCAACATACGCAATTGTATACTCCTGGAGTCTTTGAGTTCCAATACTCCCTGAAAAACAAGAAAATACTCAATTGAGTGTGAACTCCAAAATTTAGACAATCATAAGATCATTGTGATGATGTTAAAAAGGCGATAATCTTCGATAAGTATTCATTACATACCCAGTGAAAGCTCTCTCTGTGCCCTTCTGTCTAGTGATGTAGTACTGTTCTGGTGTTAGCCGTTTTTTCCACTCATTTTCACTTAGAGAAGCAAAGTCACTCTTCTCAGCCTCTGCACCATCATAGAACCTCTCACAATCTTAAAACTCGCTTACTAATTATCTAAAAGGTCATGCCATTGAATTGAAAGCAACACTGTCCACACAAAAATGAAAAGCATGGATTGGTTCTAAGTTCTCAAGTCTCTTTCACCAACTTCTCAGAACATATTGAGTAACCCAATGAAACATGAAACATAACAATTGGATTAAGCCACATCAATTTATGGACAAAACTCGTTAACCTAAACCCACAAAGAAAGAAACCATTTTTACGCTGATAAAGATTATGGGAAATCAACAGATAATCAGAGAGATATATAATCAGTTAAGAAGCTTGAATTTTTAAAAAGAACCTTGGACGTTGTCTGGTTTCTGAGAAGAACTAGAAGAACCCATAGAAGAAACAGAGAGACTCAAGTTTCTGGGTTTTGAAAGAGAACGACAAGCGAAGCCAGAAAGATTTGGCTTGGAGACGGACTCGAGTCTTGTTCTTGCAGAGACGAAGCTTAATTGCATTGTTAAACTACTAGAAGAAGCCATCACACCTTATAATGGTTTTCGCCGAAACTTGTTCAATAAACAATTTGAAGAAGTCTTTCTTTCTTCTGTGAACGGAAGAGAACACGTGGCACGTCGAGGATGCGAGATGAGATCTGGAACTCTAGCTGCCACGTCGACGCATTGGTGATTGTTATTGGGCTTTTTAACATAGTTGTGATAAGCCCATTACTTAATCGAGAGAACACGATTTTTTTTTTTCTTTCAAATTATTGTCTTTTTTGGGTGAAAGTTACATTGAAATCCGAAATTCCTAATTGAGTTTTGTTAATATAATAGATTTGTTTTACGTAAACGAAAATAAGTTATATTTATTATATTTTCAATAATCAAAATGACGTATATAAATGTCAACATGAGGAAGAATAACTAGTACACCTATAAGTAATAGTACAAAATCAAAACAAACTGAAACACTATTGTAAGAACTGAGAGGTGAAACATAATCACAGAAACAATGTTTTAAATCTTTAAAATGACGTGGAAAATTTGAATATCGAGATAAGAACCAAACAAAAATAGCCAAGAAATCCACTAAAAAGTGTTTTCCAAGTTACACTCCTCGGTCTTTCCTGCCTAAGATTCCATTATTTTCTGATGCTCTTAAAAATTGTGTGATATATAGATAACAATTTACCTAAGTACAAAAAATGGTAATTCTTTCTATGTGTGTTACCTCTTGTGATGACATATGCTACAATGGGCCACCGGGTTTCTTGTCGGAGTTTGTTGGAGATTGAGAAACCAACGTTATTCTTTCGCCGTTCTTTGGCTTATGGTTGTTATATGCAGCTACACCAGCAATGGCTGCAAGTGAACAAAATTTACAAGATCACACTTTTAAGTCTTAATCCAATGCTCACTTTTGTGTGAAATGGTAAACATATAAGATGATCTTACCAATGGCGTAACCAAATAAATTGATGATTGTGAGTTTTGTCTCGGCAAAGAGAAGAGCTGAGACTAAAACAACTAACCAATCTTTAACCACGCCAGCAATTCGGATAGTGAGAGCACTTGTTTGAGATATCACAAGAAAAACCGACAAATTGAGAGCAAATGTACATAGCGAATTAAGACTCAACACTAGTACATGAAAGTTCCATGTATCCATCTTCGACTTCTCAAGAAATATCCATGGTATGAACAAGCAAATCGCGCTGCAACACACACATCAATACAAGTAAAAAAATTGGGATTCTTTTTAAAAGTAGAAAAGAAAAAGTCCACAAAAGTTATAAAAATTGGTGAATTTTATGAATTTTTATTCAAATTAAAAAATATATAATGAGATTAGGGATCTTTGATTTTGAAAATACCTGCATGGGCTCATGTAGTACATAAGAGAGAGTGGATTTAATTTGATGCCTTTCCTCTTAACAAGAATTTCCATTAAGATTAGCCTCAAAGCTTCTGAAACAATACCACCCATTTGGTAAACAACTCCAATCCAGTTGATGTTTAATTCTCCATAAGACGCGACTAAAACACCAAAACTTATGACTGACATTATCAAAAGCATCTTGCAGCTCATTATTTCAAGGCCAACACAAACTCCAAGTATAAACACAGCAACAGGCACTGCAAAACATGATTCTTGAGATCAATTATACTTAAAAGATCAAGTATAAATTAGCAAATGAGATTAGGAAGAGCTAAGTTCTTACTGATGGCCTTCAACATTTGGGAAATTAAAGGTCGTCGTAATAACCAATGAGATACCTTAAAAACCTTAGTGAGGAGAAAACACAAAACAGAGGAAAAACTCATGTGGAGTAATGTCAATCCAAGTGGATAAGGGAAGTTTATTTCCTTAGATGATAATACCCACTGCATTAGATGAAGTCAGAAATAAAAAATTAGGGCCGGGAAAAAAAAAAGACTGAAAGAAGCTTAAAGAGAAACAGAATGAACTAAAATTCATTGGTCGGAAACTGAACTAAATTGGACCAACCTCGAATTGAACTTGAAATTTGTGTAATGGAACTGAACTCAACAACTAAATAAAATTCATTAAAAAAATTAATATTTTCTTACTATATGACTAAATGTATATAATACAACCACGCATTTAAATCTAGTGTTGTATTAACAAGAACTTTATTATTATTATTATATCTCTTGTCCAAAACCAAATCGCATTGTAACAGAACCAAACCAAGACTGTCAAAATTAAAAGCTTTATTTCAGTTTAAGTTTGTTTAAAGCTATCTAAATTGAACCGAATCTAAAAGCCTAATGTCTAGATCTAATAAAGTTAAATCTTGAGCAAAAAGACTGCAATTAGAAAACATAGATCCATGAACATATGAATGTAAGATTTGACTTAAACCTTATTGAAGAAGATTTGACCGCTAGAGAGAGTAATGTAGAGAAGAATGGAAGCATACGTCATATGTTCATCTTTGAGAAAGCTTCTGATCCGATTTCGATCCGCCATTAAAGTCAACAATCGTATTGGTCTCAAATCAGCAAAAGATTTTGCCATTTTCATTTCGTATGTCTTCTTCTTGAATATTCAATAGTACCTCACTTTTCCATCTTCTAAGCAAACATTTTAAAGTTGACTAAAAGTAACGAAGAATTAGCGTATCCCACTTTAAATAACTTCTTTTCTACGAAATCCGTTTTAATTTATTAAGATGGGTCGGGTATACGGGTCCATAATGACACTATGGGCTTTGATGACCAGCAAAATAAAAGCCCAATATAAAATCATTTGAATTTGATCAACCATTTGATCCAAAAGAATTTACATCACTGCAAAGTCTTAAATTTTTTGTTTGTATATTTCTTTCCTGACGAAAAAACATTTCAAATTTTGTATTAAAACCAACAGTAAATTATCATATTGTTGTGTCATGTGTGGTTACTGTAATTATGGATATCCATACAAAAAATAACAGAAACCAAATTTAAGAGGAATGGAAAATAAAATAACAAAATAGAATAAAAGCAGATGATAAAGTGGAACTATAGAATCCCAGCAATAGTTAAAAAGTAGAAAAGAAAAATCCCAACGAATCTAAAGTTTTATGGACTTATTATTATGCCAATTGCTTGCAATTATGGAGAAAATGAAAATTAATACAACATATTCATTTTTTTGTTGATGTGTTAAATGACAAACAGAAAGACAAAAAACCCTATCCAATATCCATAACAAAAATAAAAATTACTTTAACAATTATATTAAATAATATTAGTAATAATAGTATGTAATAAAGTATAATATGTAATTAAAAAAATGTAATAAAGTGGTGAATGTGTAAAATATGTAATTATTATCTAGAGGCCCACAAGAGGAACATAAAATAATAAAGAATCATAACTTTTCTTTTCTTTTTTAATTTATTTTACATTTGACGAAATTATTAAAAAAAAAAAAAGAGAAGCATTCTTGTGAGAGTTTTGGTCTATTTGATTGAGTTAGAAAAAGGCCAAAACAAGAAACCAAAACCCATCATTCCTTCTTCTTCATCATCCATAGCCACCGTCTGAAACCATTAACCACCGCACTAGATTTATATATATGTCTACGATGAACCATTCTTGTCTTGTTCGGTCGGAATTCTGAAATGGGTTTTCATCAAAACTCGCATTTGTTGATTAATCTCATCAAATTTTGCATCTTTTTATGAAATTCTACTGAAGAGAGAAGGAAAAGTTCGCAACTTTTCTTTCCTCTGCCTCTTGTTTTTGTTGTTTTATATTTATTTGGAATTTTCTGATCTAATTAATGGCTGCGATCACTGAAATGACCACTGCTTCAAATGACGTAATCAACAATGGTGGAGACGGAATTGAGAAGAGCTTGTTGAAGACGGATTCTAAACCGGAATATGATCAAATGAAGAAACTTGTGGCCATGTTCAAGAAACTCAATCCTGAAGCTAAGGAATTTTTCCCTTCTTACAAGAAGAATACTAATCAGTCTCTGTCTTCTGACGATTTTGTGATTGCTAAAAAGCCATCTGGTGAAGACAACAAAAAGGATGGCATTAACCGGAGGGTACACTTTTTGTTCTGTTTCTGATTCTGATTGATAAAGTTTGGATTTTTGGTTGTTGTTGTTGAACCTGTAAATGAATTATGCTTCTCAATTGGGTTCTTTGTGCTGGAAAGTCTCTAGCTTGAAGTTTCATATAGAAAGTTTTGTTTTTGATCTGGTTTTGGTTTGATTTATGTGGCCATAAGTTACATTGTCAAGTTTTGCAACTCTTGTATGATCTTTACTTAACATTTCATTAAGAGTTTTGGTAAGTTTTCTGTTTTTTTTGTTTCGTTTTGTGGATTACAGAGAAGAACCAACTATAACCAAGGGAGGAGAGTGAGGTTACCTGGAAGAGCTTCTAAGGCTCAAAGAGAAGATAGTATTAGAAGAACAGTTTATGTCTCTGACATTGATCAGAGTGTAAGTTACTTAAAGCCTCTCTCTTTAGATTTTCAGGAAAAGGATTCAGTTTTGCAACATTGTCACCTATATTATTTTTCTCAAATAGGTGACTGAGGAAGTCCTTGCTGGCTTGTTCAGCAGCTGTGGACAAGTAAGTTGAAATCTATAAGCTTTGTTGCCTGTTGTTATCTTTTCTTGATGAAGTAACATTGGACTCTTTTTCTGAAGGTTGTTGATTGTCGAATCTGTGGAGATCCAAATTCAGTTCTTCGCTTTGCGTTTGTTGAGTTTTCTGATGACCGTAAGTTAAAGCTATTGGATTTTGCTTAATCTTCTTTACAACAAACTTCAAGTGTCAAGTTTTACTTACATTAGTATGGATTTGTTTTAAAAAACAGAAGGTGCACGATCGGCTTTAAGTCTTGGTGGAACAATGATCGGATATTACCCAGTTAGAGTATTACCTTCAAAAACTGCTATTCTTCCAGTGAATCCCACATTTCTACCCAGGGTAAAACAACAAGAAGTTCCATTTTTCTCAACTTGCATTATAGTTTACAGTTTTATAACTATAATTATGGTTTCCATTGTTTCCTTCGGTGTTTTATTCAGTCAGAAGATGAAAGAGAGATGTGTACAAGGACCATCTACTGCACAAATGTCGACAAGAATGTAAATACTTTTTCCCGGCTTTTTATATTGCATTTGCGTACTTGTTATCGGTTTTGAGAGATTCCTATAAATTGCAGGCCACTGAAGATGATGTCAAATCCTTCTTCCAGTCTGCCTGCGGTGAGGTCAGTTTATAATCCGCTTAAGGCTCTCATAAAGACAAATATGAAATTTCTGAAACAACAATAACATTCAAGTTTTTTTCTATCTTCTCTCTACAGGTTACTCGCTTAAGGCTCCTTGGTGACCAAGTGCATTCTACTCGCATAGCTTTTGTTGAATTTGCCATGGTAAGCTCCTCATATTCTGTTATAACTCAGCTTCTGCCAAGTAAAGATAAATTTTTCAAGGCTTAGTTTTTTACGTAACAACTGAATCTGCGTTTGTTTTCGGGATAAAAAGGCAGAGAGTGCAGTTGCAGCGCTAAACTGCAGCGGAATAGTCTTAGGATCTCAGCCGATAAGGTACACATATTTCTCTTTTGTGACAAACCTTACATTGAATATAAAAAAAAATTGATATGAAATCTTTTGAATTCTTCAGGGTAAGCCCTTCAAAGACACCAGTGAGATCACGAATCACTCGATCACCATCACCAAACTAGTAGAAACAGATCAGGAGATGCTTTGTTGATGAAGGAGAGTGATGCAACATTCATTTTTTCTTTTCGGTTGTCTTTCTTTTTTCCCTAGAGCAGTTATTTTCCAGTTATGTAGTATCTGGAAAGACGGCAACGATGAACATGCTTCTTGAATTTTGGAGTTCTTGTTCTGATTTTTTCTTTACTGATTGAGTCATATCATCTTTCTTTAAAGGAATTGTTTGATCATTTTTGTTGGTTCTTAACTAAAAATATTAGAATTTAGGAGATTATAGATTTACTATTATGTTTGAAGTGCTGGACGCTTAAGTTTGGCCTAATCAATGTCTCTTATTAGGAGTTTTTGGGTCAATGGAAAAGTATTAAGTCATTTCCGTCAGGTATCAAAAATCCAGGGATGGAATTGCAAACAAAAATTTTGGATCATATTGATGGTTCTTGAAGAAAAAGATGTATGTAACTATGTACTGTTATATATCTCTTGAATTTGGCCGAATGTCTCTAACTATGGGGGATTTTTGAAAATCAAGAAAGTATAAATCCTTTCTCGTGAGGTACTCAAACTACAGGGATAAATTTACAAATATGCAGATATTAGTCATCAGAAAACGGCGACGTTTAAGAAAACCCCAATTTTCCGATTAAACACAGTAGTAGTAACTCAAAACCCTCAAATCCTCAATCGCCATTGTTTACGAATTTGAAGAGATCTCACAGATGAGAAGTGCTTTAGGAAGAAGATTATCAAACCCTAATGGCTTCACCATTGCATCCATAGTCAAGCAAACTCCATTTCTCATCCAATCCACATCTCATTTCTCCTCTTCCTCCGACTCCTCCGGCCGTGGTCGTGGACGCGGTTCCGGTGAAGATGGAGGATTTCCCTCCGCTGGAAGGGGACAATTCGGTGTAAATCGTGAACCAGTGGTTCCTGGACGTGAACCATCATCTACCGGAGGTTATGGTCATGGTCGTGGTCGTCCGATCCAATCTGATTCGATATCTCCTGCGTTTTCGTCATTTGTCAAATCGGATTCTCCTAGCGTTGGCCGTGGAAGAGGATCCGTTGGATCAGATTCCGTTTCACCTTTCGCTCCTGAACCTCCTCGCCAACCGCCGCCTCCACCGCAGCAACAACAGTCTCAATTGCAGCAACCGCGTTCACCACCACAACAGCAGCCGCGTTTGCAAACGCAGCCCAATGATGAATCTCAGGGAAGTCCTGTATTTGTGAAGCTGCAGGAGATGCAGGACGCAACTTCGTCTCCATCACCACCAGAGTCTAAATCTGGTCAAGCTGATCCACCTGATAACATATTCAATGCGTTAGGAAGCGAATTTTCACATCCTAGTGGAGCAGGTCGAGGAAAGCCTCTTGTGGACTCTGCTCCAATCCAACAAGAAGATAACCGTCAAATTCGACGTCCTCAGCCTCTGCCTCCGCCGCCGCAGCAGCAGCAACAAAGAGCACAACCGCAGCAGAAGCGGGCTCCAACTGTCAAGGATGAAACTCCTAAGCCGCAATTGAGTAGGGAAGAGGCTGGAAGAAGAGCAAGGAGCGAGCTTTCGCGTGGTGAAGCTGAAGGAGGTGGTGTGAGAGGAAGAGGAGGGAGAGGGAGAGGAAGAGGAGCAAGAGGGAGAGGTAGAGGAAGAGGTGGTGACGGATGGAGAGATGATAAGAAAGAAGAAGAAGGTGAACAAGAGGCTATGAGTATATTCGCTGGTGATTCAGCTGATGGAGAGAAGTTTGCTCAGAAAATGGGACCTGAATTGATGAAAACGTTAGCTGAAGGTTTTGAGGAAGTTTGTGAAAAGGCGTTGCCTTCTACTACTCATGATGCCATTATAGATGCATATGATACCAATCTCATGGTAAATGTTTGTTTCTTTGTTTGTTTTCTCTATGAATTGTCGAGAAAGTATACAACTTGCTACTGAGATTGCTGACAGTGAAACTGCAAATAGTATTAGGAGTAGTGAATTCTCAAGAAGCAATAGTATTGATATTGATTCATACTCTATAATGTGGTAGAAGTGGTTGTGGTGTCTTTGAAGTTGTTTGATTTAATATGCACAATTTACAAAAGTAGGCTAACTCTTGTAGGATTCTCAGATTTATAACAGCCTCTTGAGGTTTTTGTTCTTTCATTGTGAAATTGGTCTTTCAGTCAAAGGAGCGATGGAGAAAGTGCCTTTTTGTTGGTTTTTGAGTCTCTTAGTTTTCTCTATCTCTTTGGCTTTGCAGATTGAGTGTGAGCCAGAATACATTATGCCTGACTTTGGATCGAATCCTGACATTGATGAGAAGCCACCAATGTCTCTGCGCGAGTGCCTTGAGAAGGTGAAGCCTTTCATAGTGGCTTACGAGGGAATCAAGGATCAAGAAGAATGGGAGGTAATACTGTTCAATTTGTGAATTTGCTTTTTTTATGAATCCATGCAATTTTTTGTTTCAGTTGATGATCACTTGAATTTCTCACTTTTGCAGGAAGCAATTAATGAAGCGATGGCGCAGGCTCCCCTTATGAAAGAGATTGTTGATCACTACAGTGGTCCTGATCGAGTAACTGCTAAGAAACAGAACGAGGAACTCGATAGAATTGCTACCACGATTCCCGCTAGTGCACCTGATTCCGTGAAACGATTTGCAGATCGTGCAGCTCTTACTCTTAAGGTTTGATCTCTTTAACCAAACCCCAAACTCTTCATCTAACATCACTCTCTTTTATCAGATATCTCTACAGAGGCATTGATGTTTTTTCTGAAACTTTCGCAATGCAGAGTAATCCTGGTTGGGGATTTGACAAGAAATACCAGTTCATGGACAAGCTCGTTTTGGAGGTGTCACAAAGCTACAAATAGAGAACTCAGGTTTCCTACTTTATTAAAAAACTTCATCGCCGGTTGAGTTTATGGATCGTATTCTAGATCTTGCCTCTACTTAAAACGGTACCCCATTTCTTTTGAACAAGTACTCGAAATTTGGGCGTTAGCTTTTACGTCATACGTTTTGAGGGTTTCCGTAATAACGGCATTGTTCTTTCGGTCTTTGTTACTGAGGAGATTGAATTGTATCCTTGACTGTTTTGGGATCTGTGTAATCGAAAAGAGAATGATTCTTGACTGTTTCAGGGTTATTGAGTCTTATACATGCCTTAACAGAGAAGGCAAAGAGAGAGAGAGAGAGTATTGTGTTTGTTCATTGGAAATCTTTTTGTATTAACAATTCCATAAAACATATATGGTCACTTGCGATATTTGCAGCTGCGGTTGTGGCCGGCGCTTCAACCGTAGCCACGAACTCGCCACAGACTAGCATTCATACTGGTTTCTATAGAAGTTGATATGTACAGTGGTTTCCATCTCTTTAATTAGTTTAAGGTTATTTTACCATACTCATAAAATATTCTGAATGAAAAAGTACTTTGTAGACTTTTAATTTATCACTGCAAATCACAAAGTATTCTTCGTACTCAAAAAGAAAAATACATATGCCTCGTAAAAATTCACTATAGGAAACGGAAATCGAAAAAACTGAAAATAAAAATTAGATTTCATTGAAGTTTGAAGTATAAGTATTGTATGAGTGGGCTTCAAAATTCCAAAACGAAAATTCTTAGTGATAATTAAAGAAAATTAAAATTATGTGATACGTAAGAAGTAATAAAAATCAATTATTACAGAACTATTTTCTTAAATAGTATAAATTTTGTAATCTGTAGTTAATTGAAACATCGTTCTGTTTGTTTTCACTCTATCAAGAGCGCGTTGAGAGAATTGTGGCCAAAATTTCACTAGTGGTTAGTCTGGTAGACTTATTGGACCTTCAATATGCATGTTGTATGTTATCCGAATATAGGACTCTACATTTACATCTCTTTGATTTAGGAGTCTCAAAGTCTTTCCCGGAATTAGATTGTAATCAACAAATTTCTGGTTTCCTTATTAAATGCTCACTAATCCCTCATTATGTCATTTGCATCTTCCTCATTTATCTTTAACTCTGCTAAGTTTTATAGAGATATTATCAATTTTCCAAACGAAACAAAGAAACCATGAAATTCGATGATAACTACAAACTTATTGTTATAGTCATCGGCGGCGTTTTAGCTGGAGTTGCTGTCGTAATGTTTTTCCTGTTACAAGAACAAGAGGAAGAACCTTCAGCTACCGGAGCTGACACAGACACCGGAGTGGCAGCGACAAATTGTTTCTGCTCCGACACTTCAGACAAGAAACATTGATGTCGGAAATGGTAAGAGACATGATTTTAATTATTTATTTAATTTTTTCATTAAGGTGTGTCGCAGATTTGACGTTGATTGTTCATGAAGATCGCTTGTGGGGTAGAAGCGACACCGTTTTGAAGAAATCTATTATTCCACTTAAGCAAAAACGCAGTAGACGATAGCTTGCGATACCAGAGGCCTAAAAAATTTGGAGAGGCCTCGGGGACAAAGAGATGATGGGCCTGCGGCTTCTACTTCAGCATTTGGTGGTGGTTGTGTTAGCACTAGCGGTGGTGACAACGGTTTTGGTGGCACTAGCGGTGGTGACAATGGTTGTGGTGGTAGTCACAGTGGTGGTGGTGGATGTGGTGGTGGGGGAGGAGGAGGTGGATGTGGGGGATCTTAAAATTTGATGTTCTCTTAGTTATTAGATAATGATATTTCTTTCTCTCTTTTTTGGGCATTAGTTTCTTCGTCATACCTTTCATGGTTACCGTGATAACGCCATTGTTCTTTCGATATCTATTACTCAAGAGACTGTATTGTATCCTTTTTCTTTAAAGGGATGTAAGGGTTTAAGCCTGTTTAATTTGTATCTATGTAATCGGAAAAAAATGAGTCTTGACTGTTTGTAGGGTTCCAGTGTCAAATACATTAAACCTAAAAGAGAGATTAGAGTGTGTTTGTTCATTGAAAATCTTTTGTTTGAACAATTCCGTATGTATATATATGAACAATTGCGATAATTGTAGCTGCGGTTGCGGCCGCTACTTCAACCATATGTCACCATCTTAGATGGTGGTGGCTTTGGTGTAACAAAATGGTCTTAAATATGTGTATTCTTTTATCTTTTTTTTTTTTTTTTCCGCTATAACTGTTAATTAATATCATATAAATGATAACGTTTGGCTATTACAACAAGGTAAGCCTTTGGCTTTGAAATCTTGACAAAACTGTATTCTTTTATCTTTCTTGCGTTCTTATACCTACCATCAGACAAACAAGCGTTACGTGGTACGAGTTCTTGTACCACACAATGTTTATCTGATTATACATACATTAATATACTATCAGCAATTAGCTTTAAAATATATGAGTACATATATATAGTCAAACGAGAGTTATTCATTTCTCAACATTTTCATTAGCTATGTAAATTTTGAACGGATCTCCTATGTATATGAAAGAAATAACGGTCACATTCGTTATGCGCATAATAGAAATTTCTTCTACAACTTTTGTATTGTTTAAAGGCAAATAGGGTATGAATATGTCGTAAGCTTATATATATAAAAAAGTCAACGGAGATTTAGGGATATCGACAAGTAAAAGAACATTTGATCATACATGTATTATATATAGACATCCTTTTTTCATAAAACAAGGACAAACGCTCTTTAGTAATTGTTATAAGCTCTGACTGAGTTTTGATATACGATCTCAATGGTTCATATATTTTGCGGTTTGCTCAGCCGGAAGAAGAAAAAGCCTTCATCGTCTTCGTCTTCACCGTCGCGAGATATCAAAAAGGGTAAAACAGGAGAAAAAGATGGAGGGCTTCGTGTGATGACGTCAGGTTCTAAGACCAGAACTAGCAGGGCTTTTGGCCGCGCAAAGGCTGCCTTTGTGGTGGTGGTGCCGGCTGTGGAGGTTGCGGCGGTTGTGGAGGCTAAAGCGTTTCGTTCTTTTGCAATAATGCTTTTCGTGTGATAGTAATTTCTCTATACATGTAAGGTTTTAGTATATATGTGTGATCATCTTTTGTGAGAGTGGAAATTGAATGTATATATATGCTCTATATTATATTGTATAATGAATCATATAGGTGAAAATTACTATTTTTTAGCTGTAAAATTTGTTGTTTACAATTGGACTTACTACTATGCACTTTATTTTAACATGCATTTTGCAACGGTTAAACCTTGTATCTGTGGTGAAATTATATTGATATTGGATGCAAATTTTCCAACAAAGATGCACTTTTCTTTTCTTATTCGTAGTGATTTAGAAATAGAATGTTTCCAACATATCCAACATGCATGCATGACTGATGTGTTAATGTGTTATATATATGGACTGGGTAAAGTCATGCTTTCTATTTTTCGTAATTTCATGGGAAAAGCTTGCTTGGTCTTCGAACAAGCTCAATAATCTGATTTCATTAAAATATTCAATTCAACAAAGATAATGTGTAATATATACCAAGTGTAGTTATTGCTTACATGACATATATATCAATATATATATAATAATCCATAAATCTAAAAATTCATATTTCCATGGAATTTCAACTATTCAATCTATCACTTGGTTCTCATTTTAGCTTTGACCATATAATATAACACTTTATTCTCTTGAAAAGTTAGTAAACATGAAAAATTCCACTTATTTGCCAGTAGATTGAAATTCCACTGCAAATACTTGTATTCGTACGTCAGAATATATATAGATTACTGTTTTAAGCTTATATATTCAAAATCAACAGAATATGAGACTTTTTTTTCTTCTTTTTTGAAAAGGATAGGGGGCTATTGACCTAACTGAAAGGACAATTTTATCATGATACACTTCCAGAGTTTTTTTTTTTTTGGCCATTATAATCTTTTGTTGCTACTCCAATTGTTACAGAACAATTTTCTTTATGTTGCTATGATCATAATTCTCATTAATTATCTATATATAAAGCCAAAAGAAAGTGAATTTTTGTTAGTGTATGGTTTAGAATGTTTTCAACATTTCCAGCATGCATGAACATGACTGGTGTATAGACTGGGTAAGTAACGTGCTTTCTATTTTTCTAAATTTCACGGTAAAGCTTGCTTGGTCTTCAAACAAAAGCTATCAATCATCTAATTCATTAAAGTATTTGACTATCTTATAAAAAAAAGAAGAGAATGTGGGATATATATCAAAAGTAGTTGCTGCACACATGACATATCTAATGACTATACAATCCATAAATCTATGAAGTCTTGATTCCATGGAATTTCAACAATTCAATCGATTACTAGGATCTCATTTTTTTTTTGACTGTATAATATATATACTTTTTTTTCCTTGAAAAGTTAAGCAACAAGAAAAGTTCCATATAGAGCTAGTAGATTGAAGTTTCAACTGCAATTACTGGTATACATCAGAAAAAAAAAAAACCATGTTGTAAGCTTATATTTAAAGTCAACGGATACTTAGACCTATATATATATATGAATGGACAATTTTTCATATTTACATCATTACATTTTCAGAACAATTTAAAGACAAAAAGTTCACAAGTATATCATTGCCATTATAATCCTTGTTACTAGGCCATCGCGATGGGTGCTCTCTTATGCTATTACATGTGCCGCAAGGAGGAGGAGCCGGCGACGTCATCTCCTCCGAGAGATAACGACAAAAAAGGTGAAATGGCAGGAACAAAAGATGGAGGTCTTGTTGTCATGTCGTCGTCGGGAAAAACTAAGACCAGAGGCTGTTGCTGGGGCGGAGGACATGGTCGTGGTGCTTCTGGAGGTGGAGGTTGCGGCGGCTGCGCTTGTGGAGGTGGAGGTGGAGGTGGGTGTGGTGGTGGGTGTGGTGGTGGCGGCGGTTAGAAATTAGGGGTTCTTTATAGTTATTAATGTCATTATAATGATTGTGTTGTGTGTGTATATTTTTTCCTCATCTTGTGCGTGTGATTTAGTGCATGTGAGATTCGATTAATGTATTCATATATAACTACTATATGACTAGATTTTAACCCGCGGTACACCGCGGGATGATTTATTTTTAAAGTTAGTATAAGAATATTTTGTAAATTATATCTCCTTATACAATAT